TAAAAGTAAGAATTGTATGAAAATAAAATATATAATAAGTTACTGGCTGTTGAAGCACGTGGGTAATGCAGTTGCCATCCAGCCCCAAGGTTTTAAATGTGTTTGAGGTGCTACATCAAATAACAGGAATGCTAACAAAAAGAAAATAAGAATGTTCCAAAATTTGCGAAGTGGCTACGAAAGTTACAGAAAACAATCATCTAAATGGTTGCTTAATTGTTTTGTATTTCCACATTGTGTTGCTGTTGTGTAATTAATGATGCTAATTGTCTTTGTAGTATTAGTGATGTAAAAATCACTATTGTGGTATGTGAAATTCTTATTTGGAGGCCAGTGTACGCTGCTGTAAGAATACCATATTCAGTTCTATATACACAGCTCTCAATAAAGGTTATAAATCCAACCCACATCCTCACCCAACTTCCACAGTCTTCAGGGTGTATATTTTCTTTTCATCCCCCCAAATGTAAATATTTTGCAAGCAGTATTGGTTTCTTGTTAAAATGAGTATTGCTACAGATGCCAAAATTCCAAGTATCAATAGTATTTTTCTACAAAAAATATTTACTTAATGCGTTTCGAATTTAACTTGATAACAATGGTTAGTCGTATTTCTTTGAATACCTGCTTTAATGTCTGGGGAGTAATTGTCTCCATCTTTTGTTTGTAGGTTAAATTAATTTCTTAATTCATTATGTAGTATTTCCGTATGTTCGGGGTATTGGGAATTAGGCGGCCCTGTTTTGCTAGTAGCGCTGTTTTTCGGAACTATAAGTTGTCATAATTTGTTACCAGTTAATGTTAATGTTTCCATCTCAGTCTTGTGAATAGTATTGCCTTCTGGCGGCGTCCCTGGGAACTCTAAATTCTTGTGCTAAGAAAATGCTGTTTTTTTTTTAGTATTATCTAGTAGCAACTGTTAGAACTACCAAGAGTTCGTGATTGTAAGTAGTGTTGCCATCTGGTGGAGTTTTTGTGAACTGAAAATTCCGGCTGTGTTAATAAAATTGTTTTTATAAACTTTGTTGTTTTGTATACCTAGTGCCTTATAAATGATATTGCCATGTGATGGCAGTTCAGCGAACTAGGAATTGCTGCTCTTGAGATGCGTATTACCATCTAGCGGCAACCATTGGAACTATTTGGAGTTTCTAATATATTTATGGATAGTATTGCCACCTGGTGGTGGTTTCAGGAACTAGAAATTGCTGCTGTGCTAATGAAAATTTTATAAATAAATTATTAGCTCGCTAATAAAAATAGTGCCATCTGGTGGCAGCTCTGGGAACTAATTTTTCTTGCTGCGCTAATAAAAATTTTATAAATAAAATTCCT